TCAGGCCCGACTGTGTGTATATGAATATTGCCTTAAATACATGAGCCATGTGAGGTATGCTTGATTTATTTTTCCAGACACTCACAGGAAAACACGAGGGCATGTGTCCTGATCTTAAATCAGTGCTGCTCATATGACAGCAGGGCGGCATGCGTGGGCAAAGTCATATATTTTGAATTTTTAAGTGAATCAAAACATATATGTTAGAAGTGCCTGATATAGCTTTTCTCGAACTTGATAGTTTTACGCAAGGATCCGCAAATGTCTAGGAGGATAAATTAAGCACACCTCGAGCAGTCCAAATATTCAAAACCTTATTCAAATAGATGTTTTCACCCAGGTTTGACACGGCTCTTAGGCTGGTGTGTTGGCTCCTCAGGACCCCCCATGGCACGGGGGCATGTAATCATCCTGAAAGTCTCTTTGGGTGTCTGCACTCTCATAAAGCAGGAAAATGGATCGTGCGGCCCAGGAAGGGAAAATGAAAGAAAAGGAGAATGAAATTACAGACCTGGCTGACTGCACAAATCATGCATATCATGTTTTATGGCTTGCCAGAAGAATTCAACACCTGTGGATCACCGTAGCTATAATTGTACATGAACGCACCAGGATGGGGGGGTGGGAGGAGAGTTGTGGTTTGTGTGTCACTGAATATGTGAGTGAGAGTGTGCGCACCTAGAAGGTGTCTATGCGTATGCAAGTATGTTTTTCTTGGCATAGCCGAGCTCAAGAAACAGAGGGAGGATGATAAAAGAAAGTTACGGGAACGCCTGTTGTTCACTTCTTCAGTACATCCTGGGTGAGCCGCCCACAGCCCACAGGGCTCGCTCACAGAGGCTTCATTTACCATTGTAATTACCCTGTTTATTTACCCTACCTGCTTTTGGTGGTAAAACGGGGCCCAATTCATCAGATCAGGACAATTTGGCCTTGCTTTGGCTTTGCCATTTACTTTAATTAAATGAGGCAATCAGTGAATCATAAATCACAATCCGTGTGACCACTGGCTCTGTTTGAACCTGGTCCTCTTCTTTAAGGCTGACACACCTTCTGCTAAAACCTCAAGTAGACACACACACACAAGCTACTGTAACTCCTGAGCCTTAGAATTAACCTTTCAACCAGATGCATGTGGGATTTTCTTCACACTGCTCAAACAGAAAATCTGTGGGGTTTTTTTTTATCCTGTGAATCTCTTATTTCACTTTTGGCTCTTTAAAAGTACACATGGATATATAGGATGCACGGATGAAGGCTAAAATCTAAATAAGATGACAACATTGCAGATCGAAGAGTCTTCCCTTGTCTCCTCCCTCGCTCTCCCTCTCCCTCCTCTCCGCTGTGGATGCTGATGCTTGAGTCAAATTGATTACACCACTCCATCTGCATCATGACTGGCCTCCTCCTGTGTTTGCCGCCTCTGCCTACAGCACAGAGTTAGTGTACAATTACATATAGTTTAATATATCTGCCTGAGCACCTTTAAATAAGCATCACAAGTCCACAAGGTGATTTGTCTTCCAGCCCCATTACTCCATTGTACATCTTGATAGCCAGGGATCGCTCCTAGCTATGTTTAAGCATTAAATAGTGTATTATTATTTCACATAAATCAAGCTGAGATGTGAGGGGGGTATTCATAAATTTTGCATTTCTCACAGACAGTATTTTAAAGCCTCTCTCTCTCCCTCCACCGCTCGGAATTTTGAGACTAAAGCAATTCTGCTCCCTGCACTTGATAGTACATTAAAGATAGGCATATCAGGGAGGTATATTCAAAACAACATGTAATGCAGTTTAGATTAAGTTTGAGTTGCTCTAACACATTCATCACAGCACTGTTTCCATAATAAGTACCCTTGCCTTTCTCAGTGATGCATCCACACACATGCACCATTACCATCAGAGAACACTGTATTGTTATTGTCATGAATAATGGGGCAAAATACTAATAAAAGCCCATTTATCATAATATTTTTCACAGTTTACCGTGGCTACCGAATCTCCTATCTGTGCTCGACGATGAAAGGGTGAAATTAAATTTAAAGGTGAATGTTTGCCGTCAGCCCTTTTCTTCAAGACAAGTGCCCCTGACCCCCTCCCTCCACCCCCTCCCTCTCGGATATTAGTCCTGTGTTTGTGCAAAACGTCTACTGAGGAAATGACTTCACTCAGGAAACTGGATGTCAGCTTTACACACGGGCAAGAGAGCTGCCAATGTTTTAGTCAGTCCGACAACACGTTCTTTTCTCAGCTCGCCCTCCAGTTGAGTGTGGAGCTACAAAAAGTGACAAAGAAGGAAATTGGACTCGTAGTTGTTTTGGTTACTCCAAGGACACCTCGCACATTCGTTTCTATTTCCTGTCTCCGGCCTGGTTTTCTGATTGGCCCTGATGTGCAAGCCAGGGACTGTGGGGTGTGAGGTGAAACCTGGAGCTTTGTCATGGGCTAATGGACTTCTGAGGTTATCTTTATTGGTCACTTTCTGTGTGCCAGCTCGGTCCAGGATCAGGACTTTTGCGTACAGGGAAAAGCCCCTTAACAAGTTTACGTTATCACTAAAGAATACTGCTTAAATTACACAATTTGCTGAGAATGTGCATCTCATTTTCACTCAGCTGACACGTAATAATGCTAAAAGATACAGAAGACTTTGTTAATATACATAAAATAAAAAAAATGGTCCAGAACTTAACCCAGTCGTATTCTAAAATATGTCCAGAATATCACCTCGACCATCGCAATGCTAAAACAATACCAGTCCTTGACGATCCTGCTGAACATAGATCAGCCAGCCCAAATTGTTTAAATAATGCAAAAGTCTCATAAGTTTGACTTTTGTGATTTCATGCTCACATTGCAACCCTACACCACAATTAAACCTAATTTTCACTTTTAAAACATGCTTATCATATCCTGCACATAATAATTATATGACCCACTGGCCCGGGGGCTCCAGCATTGCAGCAAAGTCAGTAAAAAATCTTGTAAAAGTCATTGCAAATTGGAAATTGACTAGATGCCAGGACAGTAAGTTGAGGATTGGGGGGGTAGAGAGAAAAATGTCTTTGAACTAGTTTTTGCTTGCAGAAAATATTGCTTCTGGGTTGATATTCTTTCTGAAGTGTTTCATGGCAATGAGAATTAAGAAATAAAGCGCAGCGCCAAATGATTCAGTGAATAGATGGCACACACCCACAGGTATTCTGTTCACATGACATCACCCTGTGTAAAATTGACAACTTCATGTTTTTTTTAACCTTTTTTTGTGGGTTCTCTAAGTTTATAGAAAATCTCTTTGAAAGAGAGACCGTGGCAAGAAAGCAGCGTCACATGAAATGAAACTTATTGACAGTATCAATCAACAAATGCTGTACGGGAAGCAACATCAGTACAAACTGACTTTATACTTCATTTGAGAATAAAATGCTTTAATTGATTGCTTGGTGTTTTTGTGGATGGTTTTAATACACTTCAGAGCCACATCAAGGTACATATGAACGAGATCTCTATCTGTCTCTACCTCTCCCTTCATTCCTTGGAAGTATGTGTCTTCTGACCTTGACATGTGCAGGCTGGCTGCATGTTTCCCTCTCAGTGCACTCTTACCTTAGCTCATGAACTGGAAACTTTGCTCCTGTCATCTCTCTCTCTCTCTCTCTCTCTCTCTCTCTCTCATATGATCACTCTGCTTCCTTGTGGCTTACACACAGCACACACACTGGTGAATACCTGGGAGGATAAATGCTCAGTTAAATTGAATAAACATAATCCAGACATGCTCCATTCCAGCCTGTCTGTCATGGAGAACTTACACAGAGACCCCTGATTCCATCAGTGAAGACGACGCACAAACAAGTGCAAAGATTAGATGTCAGCTGAAAGGCCGGTATTAGATAAAGGATTATTCACAGCTCTTGTGATAAACATAATTTTAATCAAACATCAGATAATCTGTGATTTTACTGAACCAGTTGCATTGCTTCCTTTGTTATCTCTTGATGACAGATAGCAGTATATATTGCATACATTCACACAAGTGTTTCCTTTTTCTCTCTCTCTCTCCACAGTCATGTTATTTGAATATGTTGTCTGAAGAGGGTACTTTTTTTTTTACCCAGTCACATGTTAGCAATGCTGTGTTTAACTCTACAGTGTAAAACAAAATACTGTACATATATCACCTGAATTTCTTGGCAGTATGATAGATTGCAAAAGTGTTACATGCAAGCCTAGAAATTGCATAAACACAAAAGTAAAGAGTAACCCTGCCCCGTCCTTCTCTGTGCTCCCTGCGCTCCGATGTCCTCTCATGTTAAAACAAAGCATCTGCCTGTCTATCATCTAACCATAGGCGCTCTGGGTGGGGCAGGATTTCAGTCTTTTGAAGTGAACTTGTCATGGGAAATCTGCATCACTGGGGCTCAGTACAATCACAGGCTCAAGATTAATTGTTTGCGGTGCACCACTTCAAACTGTTTTTAGACACTGCATTATGGGATGAACTTTTGCAATGCCTGTCGTCACCTATATACACACCTGCGCGCTCTATAATGGTAAATGTTATATTTTCACATTCCTGTGTAGCTATAAAACACACACACACATGCTCAGGTGCATACAGACATATTCTTGAGCTCATAAATCCTTAAATACAAAAACACTGTCTTTATGTGTTTACTTAAAAATATGAACATTTACAGATGCAGTTACACGCGTATACATTTACAGATGTACAAAATGACAGTTTTTACCCCCTCACCCCTCCAAATACACACACACACACACACACACACACACACACACACACACACACACACACACACACACACACACACACACACACGCACAAGCATGCACGACTCTAAACAGACTGCAGTAACACAACATTAAGCGGTTTTCTCTTCTCTGTTATCTCCAGCTTCCTTTTTGCCCTTTGGTTAAACATTCTCTTGGCATGCATGATCTCATTTAACTTTGATTTCCTCTTTTTCCAGGACGGCATCCTCGGTGGTTCCAATTTCCAGCCCATTCCCCAATTTTCAACCCCAATGACAGACAACACACGCTTGAATGGCTGTTCAGCTAAAGAAGGGAATTGGTAAGTGATGATTTTAAATGCTGTTTAAGATAAAAGGAAGAGTTTGCAGCAGATAAGGATTTGCCCGCGTAGCGAGCAGGAAGCTTGGAGATACTGGTTTCAATGTGCGGTTGCAGTAGCTGCATACAACAGATGTCATTTATGTTACTGAGCTTTAGGAAACACTGCTGTAGACTAATGGTAGTTTGACAGAAATGATCTTTTCATCTGAGTGGAAGTTTATTTACTGTATTAAGATAATAATAATTTCTTTCAGCCTGAGTTTGACATGGTGTTTATGTTGGTATTTAACACAAATAAAAACATTGTTATATAATTATTATTATTATTATTTTAATAAGCATATATAAGTAAGTAAATAAGTACAACACTGGAAAATAAAATATTGACTTAAACAAAATTCACATGATATGATCAAATGTCCCTGTTTTGTGAACTGTGTAAATTATAATTTATATTAATAAAATATGAAAAATCCCTAACCAAAGTTGGGTCTGAACCACCCTGACTGAATAAACCTGGGACAACATAATAGTTTTGATAGGGCTGTAAATAAAGGCAGAAATTACTAAACTTTTTCATATAATTTCACACACATTTTCATTCCTACACATTTCCCCCGTTTTCTATTTCTCTATTTTTGTATGTGGCTCTAAATAACACTTGAAACATAAAACAATATTAAAATAAAATGTTAAAATTTTCGGTCAAGGCCTTAAAACAAAGCAACTTTCACCTGCCATAAATGTAGAAAAATTTAAAATGTAAACTTTTAGCTTCATTATATATAATCGTATGAGTGTTGATGGCGCCCGACACAATCACAATATTGACTTAATTTGTTCCTGATTAACCTCTCGAGTGTGGAGAATGTGTCCAGCATGAAGGACTTTTTTGTCGGTTGAAAAGAGCAGCTCATTGTTGAGCTTTAAGTGGTTTGTGTAATCCCCTATAACCAATACCATGAAGCCAAAGGATTCTGAAAATCTGTTTTCAGCACATTTTGAGTAGGAGCGAACCTGGGAATTCTCTCTCTCTCTCTCCCCAACTCTGTCATGAAACAGAACACCCCATTTCCATATCAATCGGATTAGTTCCAAGACCAGGGAAGTAGGAGTAATGTAAGTAACCGTACAAATTTAAATATAGGACATCAAAAACATTGTTAGGCATTCATTTATTTTTGAAGCAGCCCTGGCTCTGTGTCTCTCTGTGAAGATGAGATGAAAATGCATCTCTTCTATTTTATTTTCATTTTATTTTGAAAGGTGCTGAACACCGCAGTATTTTAAACATTTCATGTGCACCACGGCATCCCGCTGTTCTTGTGTGCTTAACCTCATTTGTGGAATGAAAATGTCACATCAAGCAATACACTTGTTCAAAATGCAACATCAAAACAATTTCAGCTGGGCAGCGTTCACACAAGCTGATTGTTTTTGAACATTTTTGCAGAAACATACTGTAAAATGGTGGACTCCTGGCTCCTGTGGTATCTATGCCAACTGGCACCGCACAGTTACGCTTTAACATACAATTCACAATGTATTGGTACATATATAGTTTCAAACTGACATGCTTCTAAAAGATGGTGTGTAGAAGTAAAATAAAATATATAAAACTATTAAATATTGTGCATCTTTGGAAAAAGTATCTGGAGTAATGAGCTGTTTTCCTAAAAATTGACAATAAAATAATACAGTTACTATTAAAAAAAGAAGCATTTTACAGAGATAGTGAGGTCTGTTAATGCTGCTAATGTGTATTCATGTGTATGTCTATGTGTGTATAAGTGAGTGAGTCATGAAGACATTATTCAGCAGTCTGTGACTTTGCTGACTGATCTGACCAGCCAGTAGCTCCCTGTTCGGATGAAGAGATGGATAGATGGATGTCTGGCTGTGCTTCCTCAGCCCTTTATGACTTAGACTGTCTCTCTGCAATTGAAAAACTAACTCTGCTGTGTTGTCTTGGGATTTCTCTCCCCCCCCCCCTTTTTATAATGTAGCTTCAAAACAGGAAAACCAATAGTGGGAATAGACCCCCGAATGTAATTAATTTTGTGGGGGCGGGGGGTAAGCGGGGTTGGGGTTGGGGTTGGGGTTGGGGGTGGGGGGGCACTATTATTGCAGGAGGAAGAATTCTAATCAGTTGCAGATTCCTTCCTGTTTGGTTAGCGTGACCGTGGCCAATTACAAGTGAACTCTGTGTTACAGTTTCACTTCCTGTGCTACCCAAAGAATGGACTGAGTCCGGCGCTGCAGAGCAGTGGCACAACAGAGAAAGAGAGAGAGAGATGGAGGAAAAGAGTAGAGAGAGAGAGAGAGAGAGAGAGACAAAACAAGACACATGAAGATGAGACTGCAGGAAAGTAAACAGAGCGGAGGAAGGGGAAGAAAAAGCAGAAAAGAGGGGAGGGTGAAATCTCTGGCCAGATCTAAGGTGCACAGACATGAAGGCACATACGTCGTTTATCCACCTAATATAGAACATGACATGTGGTTTACAAAGGAAATGAAAGGATTTTGGACCTGACTTCTCTTGCTGGTTGAGCTGCTCTCAGGTAAAGCCTGAAACTGCAGAGCAACAGACCAAACTTGAGTCACAAATGCAATAACGCATAACTCAATCATTGCAGAGATGTTATCGAAAGACACAATTTGGCATTGCTGTTTTTCCCCTAAATCGAATTAAACCACTGGACTAAACAACTGAATGACAATTGCTAAGGCATACCTGAATTTGCATAAAGTGTCCTTTTTTTCAGCGCGTAGAAGTAACTCAATATGCCATGGTACTTCCTAGGAAATTCTCTACGCTTATTAAGCCAGATACTGCTTTTGCTAAAGGCTCTCCAAGCCAGTAGTTTACACCATATTACAACAATATTCTCAAAACGTCAGTCATGCTCTTTTTCTCAGGCCTTTTGCGGGATGTTTTTTTGCTTCTACGTCAGAAAAAAATCTGCTAAAAAATTAGATATGATAAAACAAACTTGCCACTGCCACAGAGATTTCCATTGACAATCAATTACAACCTGACCTGCCAAAATGGTTCCCTTTGGCTTGATCCTGCTCCTCAATTCTCTCTTCTTTCACTCTTTTTTTTGCTCCTCCAGAGGGGTCTATTCCCATAGTTTCCCTCTGTAATAGTTTTTTGGCGTATTACTTTCCTCGATCCACCCCAGAGGTCTCCCATAATTCACTTTTGATATCATTGTTTAGTTGTAGAATTAGAGGAGGGGTGCACACAGGGATCAGGCAGGCACATTAATTCATTCATTCTAGTGTGATGTGATCGGTCCCTTCATTGCAACTATGTTTTTTGATTGAGGGAAGTTGCAGTTGCAGTAACTGGGAAATTCTGTTATTACTTGAAATTGTATTGATTGCATGGATTATTTAGCTACCAGTAATTATTTACTTATATTCTAGTTGTATACAGTGTTATTTTTAAAATTTTAGTTCAAATACATGTGATCTTTTATACAGACTACATTTTCACTTCTAAAATGTTCAACAGCTGCATTGGTGACAGATGAAATAAATACTTGGAGTGATAAAAACATATAAATACTGGAAATGATAAGAACAAATTCCTTTTGTCTAGTAAAATTCAGGAAATCTGTTTTATATTACCAAACAGATGACATGACATTTATTACCATTTTCCAGCACAGTTGAAAACATCTCAAGGGGACCAATACTGTAGCAGTTACAAGTGGAATAAACTGCTTAGAAGATGTTCAAGGGATGATGCACATAACTGGCAATATGAATGTGAATTCCCCGGGAACCCTGTTTTGCACACACACACACACACACACACACACACACACACACACACACACACACACACACACACACACACACACACACACACACACAGTGAACAACATGAGAAATGGGCAAAGATCCACACTATTCAGTGTGAACTGGAGGGTCCAAGTCGCTAAACTAATCCTAGTACCACAGGATCCCACTTCCAGCCCCGTCTTTTGCTGCAGCTGCCTGGAATCATTTCACAAACACAAGGTATTCCTGGAAGAATTGATTCTGTTAGATAGTGCATTGATCACACACATCGCCTGCAGACAGAAGATGGCTTTACAAGCAATAAGATGGGAGACAATTATATTATTTTAGTCAAATAAGACAGAGTACAAGCAGCGAGTGCCAATAGCTGAGGCAGGGGTGGGGGGTTGGGGGGTACACAGGCGGCCCCCTCTGTGGCTGCCTCGGTGTGTTTGTGCTCCATCCTCAAGTGGCACGGTAATCCACTAAACTTTCCTCCACCCGCTTCTCTCAATGCAATCAGGATGCGAAGGCTCACCAGTGATTGCGTTCATTTGTAAAAGCATCCAAGCCAAAATTGAACCCCAAGGCTGATAAACTATAAAGATGCTGATCAGATCGCGGCTAAGGAGTCCGCACTTGAGGGCACAAGGTGTCAGGGCTGGAGCCAAAAGAGCAATGACTCTGTATACCTCACTTGGAGCCAGGCGGCTGCCCCGGAATACAAACAAGAGGAGAGAAAACACATAAAAACGACAACAAACTGCAGTTGGATTTTTCATCCCCCAGCATCTTTCAGAGGAGGAATGTATTATCTGTGCAGCAGATTAGCAGTTTTTCAGATGTTGCCTTTTTTCCTGTCTTTTTTCCTTCTTCTTCAGATTGGTAAATTGGGTGCATTTATTGTTTGAGCTTTAGCAAATGCATTGTATTTTATTGATGAGTTCAAAGTGAATTTCATAATGCATCTCAAGAAAAGTAGAAGCCCAAAAGACATAATGTTGAGGGAAGTCTTATGTTTTCAACCGTGCAACAGAATATTATGCCCGATTTATCAGAATGAAAACAATACATAACTCTGCAGTGCTCTTCGAGTCCAATCCATTCTGTTTTTATTGCAAGCTCCACAGTACTGCCTATTGTCGCTGGGCTTTAAGAGTTACCGCAACTTTTTGTCTGCTTTACAGTTATTTCTCACAGCTATTGCATTGTCTCACGCTAAATGAACAGTGTCATTACTTTAAACACACATTTCTGCCTCTGCTAAAGCACAAAGATTGAGGACAGACAGAAAGAAAGAAAGGGAGGATCTGAGGATGTTTTTTCCCTCTCCATCCTCGTGGCCCCAGTGCGTTAAATGTCAAAGAGCAGTCAGCGGGAGAGACTGATTCCAGGAGGCGATGTGAATAGGACGATTGAAGACCCGCTTTGATTGACAGCTCTTCCTCTCTTGCTCTGCCCTGAGGGTGATTGACAATGTGGTTCATCTCACATTTTGTGACTGAGCTAATCCAGTAAATTCCTACCAGACGCAGCACAACTCAGCAGAGACCTGCCGCTCCTTTCCCAGGTGGAGTTTTTATTTTATCTCTTCTTTCCCAAAATAAATATGTTTTTCCATCTGTGGCACTGAAAACAAACCAGGGAGGGGGGCGGCGGGGGGGGACTATAATTAAGTGTAAGTACATAATTAAGCGAGTTTTGAAAAGTGCTAGTTTTCAATGAATTAAAATGTAGACTAATTACATGTGGGAATTAGCCTGCTGTTGTGCTAGTGATTAATATTGTCATAGGTTACTGTCTCAATATGCTGCCAGTTGGAAATGGGATCACCTTACTGGAACGATTGATCTCTTGCCAAGTTCAATAATTAATTGACTCAACAATCACTGACACACAACTATCTCACACGTTGTCCCGCATGCCCACAAGGTGTGCCGCCCGTCCTCTCGACCTTGCACCTGTATTTTGATGTGTGCAGGTTCCCAGAAATCACTTCCGCTGCACTGCAGCTGGCTTTTCAAAGAGGAGCGAAGACACAAGAATAAGATAAATAAATAAGAGACAGAATTAACTTGCAAGAGCTTCACCCCTGTTTTTAGGGTGTGTAAGCACGATCGCAGTAGTGGCCATAGGTTGCTGCAGCGCACTTCATGACAGCTGTGACCCACATTACCGCAGCTGCCCAATAAGACGTGCAGTGTGAGAAATATTTGACGCCTTTCATTAATCATCATTCCTAAATGATCACTCTGCGAGGGTATGCATTTAAGCGTGATTAATTGCAGAGTGAGCCTAATCAAGCAATGAATTACCTGCCTAACCTCTTGCAGAGGGCTGGCGTTAACCTCAATTCAAAGCACTGGAACCCGGTGTGGTTAACTATGTCAAGGAAAATTAAGACGAGACAATAATGAGAATCAGTTAAAGACGCCATGTTTAAAGAAAGTACACCCAGGTAATTTGACCTCAAAACAAGTAAAAACCACTTGAAAGAAATACATATATAGCACTTCTTCCCTCAGTAGAGGAGCTGAAATGTAATGAAGAATATATTACATGCACCCTACTGCTTGCAACAAACCTCAATATTTGTCGATGTTTCAAGATACAACATGTTTCGAATATATGAACCACAATCCTGGCATTGCTTCTTGAAGGCACATACTGTTTGCATAACTTGTAAGCCTCTTTATGTGTTGAGAAAACTCTACAACTCCATAATTTATGAAACCAACCCACTGGATGAACTCTAAAATGCACTGCAGATAAGCTCAGTTTCTTAATTTTTTTGTTGCTGTTGCAATGTTGATATTTTCATGTACTCAACTTTTCTCTTGACTGATGAAGTGCAGGAATGTCACTAATCATTCTCTGTCTTCATTCAGTTGGCTCCTGTGTTCTGTCTAAGCAGAGCTGAGAAGACAATACTCCAGTGTGTGCAGATCAGGTGTTTACCTTTATAAGCACGATGAAAGCCCCACCAACCAGTTGTGACAATGGCAAAGTGAGATAATAACCCACCAAGATGATTTGAGAATGACTTATACGAGCACCAAGCTTGTACGGGGCATTGCACACTCTAAATGGTATGCTTTTGAAGTCAGACAAACCAGAGGGTGTGGTAGACTTTGTCTGGTCCACCTCACTGTGTTGCATTATTGGGTCTCTGTTTATGCTCAGAATAATGTCATTTTTTTTATTTCATGTGGATATTTTATACTTGTGACACTCAAACACACAAAATGTGACCAGATCCTTGAAAAGAGAATAAATATACTCCATCTTTTGACTCCTGCTTCAGTGTCAACACTCATTAGAGGCAAATATTTAGCTCACACACAAATGAGCCCTCATAATTGCGAGATTTTTTTCACAATTCAAATTCAAATCATTCCTTCTTGACACAGCCAATACATCTGTCACACGGCACCTCGTTTTTTTGTTGAATAATTAAAAAAAGAAATAGAGAAACATACTAATGAGAGAACCTTTCTTGAGGGCTTTGCCGCTCCACTGACTATCATATTAATGTATTCCTGTGTGAATTAAACGCATCATCAAACACCTAAGTTCCCTCCATATTTTCCTCTGAAGACGAGGGCTGGACACCGGTGTCTACCTTGCCCTCTGCAAAAATGAAGGGCATTCTTCATTATTACACCTCTTGTGATTACTTGTTAATAGCCATGTACTAAAGGTCCCCCCTCTAAATTGACAAAAACACTGGGAATTTAGCTTTTTATGAGAATGACATTGTTTCGGTCAATGATTAAGTCATTAAGATATGTTAAGGTGAATTTAAAGTGATATGTAGATTTATTGCACCTTAGTGGCTTTGTCTGTCTCCATTTTTTTACATCTGTAAGTGTTTAATATTTGTACAAATTTTGATTTTGTGATTTAATTTGAAGTGTAGGCCTATGTAATGTCTGTACATCAGATTTTTTCATGTTATTAAAAAGATGAAATAACTACAAAGTTTGTAGGTAGATTTTCTTGTGAACACCCGCCGACAACAAGACTTCTTCTCATTCTTATCCCTTCTCTCCTTTTCTGCCTGAAGCTCTGGTGACTGCCAGTGTAATCTGTGCCTGACCTTTCTCCACCTCCTTAAACCTCTCTCTGTTCCTCCCCTCCTTCTATCTATCCATTCATTCGCCTTCTTCCCCTCTACTCACCACAGATTGACAGTCATCAGAGCTCCTTTCTCTCTGCCGCTGACAGCTTGAACTGGCTCATTAAGGCAAATTGGGAACGGGAGACTAAACTGAGCATGCAGAGTTATTTTAGAGGCCGCTTTGTGACAGAGCAAACATGCCAGCTCATGCTCCACATAATGGCTTGTCCAGGGTTGAAGAAATATGTTCGATTTAATTATCATAATAGACCATTAGTGCTATGGTACTAAATGGTCTTGCAGTGTGTGCCAGTAGAGTTTAGAGATAAGTTAAGTTGATTGTTTTTCAAATTTGGTATATGTAACAAGAAAAAAAAAATATTTTTTTACATAGACGCCAAACAAAGGCACAAAAAGTACAAAGCAACAAAGCATGGAGTTAAGGTGGGACTGAAATGTTAGTTTGAATATTTTGAATAGATTTGCCTATAGCTGTTAGAGAGCAAAGCAGGCAATGTGTGATTGATCACGTCCCACAGGGGCGACAGCCAGCATGCCATTTATACAAAACAAACGGTGTTGGCTACACTAAACTAAGCTCACACAACCTATGCAGATAGCACAGTCTTTCATTTTAACATGTGCATGCTAAACCTGGCTGATAAACGATTTGCCTAGCAGCACTTCCGTCCATATTTTATCACGGCAGACAATGCTCGGTGGCGTTGCCAGACTTGGTGTATATCCAGTATTTAGGCAAAAAAAGCTTCTCCTCAACCCCTCAACAGCTTGGCTCCCATAATTAACTTCCACAGGACTGATGGGAGCCTTAGTCAGAGGCAACAGGAATAGAATACAATATATTGGAAGAGAATAGGTGCAGAAATGGTAGAAGAAGACATGTTAAAAACCAAAAGAACACAGACTAATGGTTCAGACAAAGATTACATTTGACAGACAGAGGTCTTGGGTCAGTCATGCTTGAAGCTTATTCCTTGTTGCGCAGATAACCTCCGTCATACAGCGAGCTCCTGTTGAGGGCAGAAATGGCTGAAAGGATTAATGACTGTTTATACTTAACGCTCCGTACTTGCTAAACACGCTAAAAAACCTTTAAGCCGTGGCACGCCAACAACATTTTAAGCCAGTGTTATGAATGTGGCAATTTTTGCCAACAAATATGAGCAGGGTAGAATGTTAACTATTTTATCCAGAGGCAATAGTGTCTGGTAAATCTGGAGCTCCAGTGATTTTCACTTAAAAAAAAAAAAAAAAAAAAACTCAAACAGATTTTTTTTAGAAGAGTGCTTCCAAATTTGAAAGATGAAGTAAACAAATGTTGTACTCACAGCCCAAAATACCTTGTTTTCAGATTCTGTATTTCTTCATTATTTCGTCATTGGTTTCTTTCATAGCGTTAAAACATAAAAAAAGTATTGTTGAAACAACAACACACAGTACTATATTCATTTTTACTCAGATAAAAGGCATTGGCAGATAAAAACCAGCATGTTGCCATGTTTTTACAGCAAGACATAACACATTGCAAGCAACAAAAAGTAAAAAAGGCATGATATATAATGAAGCAATAATACATATACAGAACTAACAAGTGAACATCAAATCACAATGTTTATACGCATTCACATGCATCACACACTTTGATAGGCAGTTGACTGACCTGTTCCTTGTTTGCACGCGCACACACACACACACACACACACACACACTCTTCCACACACACACATATGCATTCACAGACATCAGAGCAGATCCCTCAGCCTCTGCTCTTCCTCAGTCTAACCTTAACCAGACAGATCTTCTTCTCGAGGCCCCGGGTGACTACTCCACTCCCTCTGATTGGACGGATCCTGTGCGTGCTTTTTGTTAAAAAGGGATCATTAATAGCCCGCGTACGACCTCTGACCGTCCCTTTAAATCCTTAGTCGGCCAACTGATGGTTTCTATTTACTGTCCCCATAGGAGATCTTAAAGAGTAGAGGAAGACTTGTTATTATGAGGATGTTGTGACCCTGCAGTTGATGTGTTGTATTTAGTTCCAGGACCCTTTAAACACAGAATAAGTGATCAAGTTTGATTTAAAAAAAAAAAAAGAAAAAAAAGATATTTTAACTGTGGCTCAAATCTATAAAATAACCTATAGAAAGTAGATTTAATGTATTTTATGAACTTTAAGATGAAGCTGTTTCCAGGACATTAAACTCTTTTTAATGACACAATATTGTTATTTATTTGGTAATAAGAAATATATATTAAATGCCAGATAGTATTTTGGTCCCACATAAATGGTATGATACAAGTAATTCCTTACAGAGGGAGATTGAAGGTCGACTGTTTTAAATGCATGGTGAGGAAAATCCAATACTAAGAAATAATAAATAAAAGTGACTCTTTTTTTTTTAAGTCTGCACACAGGCCTGCTTGCATATACAAGTGTTAGTGCGTTCATCCACATGTGTACCCATTTGTGTGTATGTGTGTATATATAAATGAGATAGGATGGAAGCTCCCATTCAGTAACCTATCACTTAAATCTGGCTGCAGGGCACAAAGTCCATTTGTCACGTCACGCTTTTGTTATCGCACTGCTCTTCAGAGAAAACAAACAACAAAGCGCACACAAAACCTCCACAGAAAAACCGCTGCCTCATCCAATGAGAGCTTTGCATTAGATATGATGGGGAGAAGAGGAGAGCTGAGGTGCTGCAGAGGAGGAGGAGGAGGAGGAGGTGGAGGGAGATGTGTGATTAAATGTGTGCGTGTTTGAATGTCACTGTGTGAGCGGGTGTACGGCATGTGTTTGTGAGTTATCATAATGCGTGTGTGTATATGTGCATTTGGTTGTGTATGGGAGGTGTGTTAGGAGGATACCCGGAGCCTTGCCGTACCGTCCTGTGCCTAAATCATGTGTACAAGCTGTTTCCAATAAACTGTTAAATTTGATAAAGAGGTCTAGTATTATATTACAAAGCCCACAGGGCACTCGGACCTCTGCTATCATGAATACATTTTGCCTGATAATAATGCTGTGACTTCAATCGCCGCCACAGGAAAAACTGCTGCCCTTCTGGAAATCAAGTTGCGAGGCAGGGTGACACCTGTATAAATGGACAGGTGATGAGATTATAATATATTTATGCTTTCTGGGTTAGCGTTAAGGGACTTCTACAAGTGAGCGTGAGTAACACAAGGGACTGCAGGGCACAACTGGGAGTGCCATGGGGGGCAAATCCTCTCACCT